CACAGCTGCATAAGAGAGAAGCATCGTACGCTCAGGAAAGTAATACTGTAGGCTATGATGAATTAACCAAGCAATAATAAACAAACCAAGATTATTTGACTGACTTTTATTACAAATCATGGAAAGTTTTGTGGGAATCAGTTGGGCAGTTGGCATTTGTAAAAATTGTGTAAATGCTCTGTATAACCTGACTTTCCTCACAAGGTCACTGACAGCAGTATTCAGGCAGAGAAAACTAAGTAAATATATAGTTAATGATCTAAAGAAAGGCCAATATTCAGCGGCCTTCAGGAACTGATCATCCCTGCATTCCTACACTGAAGCTGAAGCATTTAAAGGAATTTAATCAAAAATATCTACATGACCCCTGTTTCGGAATATTGTTTGCACATATCTACCAATAAAGATGGTCATTAAAGATTGAAATAACACTTAAAACAAAGGGAATAAAGCAAGAATTCTCTTCTCTTTACAAAGGCGAGGTTAATCTCTTTCTCTTGAAAGTGTATCTGAAAGTTACGCTTTACCGCACAGAATCCATTCTTGTGGTTAATGGATTATTATTAGTGGTGATTGTAAAAGCAAACATCACTATTAACTTTGGGGCCGCTCACATAGAAAGTGCTGTTGCATTTATAAACACGAGACACTGTCCACGCAGTCACATTTATACTGTGTCTACACCCGGCACAAATGTTGCAAATCCATTTATCTGGTGCTAGTCCTATACTTCTGGGGGCCCCAAGAAAAACTTTGTCAGGGGCCCCACTCAGTATGTTCATAAAAAACCCAAACGAGCCAGAGCCTGTCAACAAACAACAGTGAGTTGAAACAGTCGGTAATACAATTTAAAAGAAGAAGAAGACAATTACAAACAATAGGATAAATACAACAGAAAAAAGACACAAATTAAATGAACGATTTAGCGCACTAAAAATAATGACGTACTATAGAAAAATTGAATAAAGTTTCTTCTTTTGCTTTTTTTGGGTATTGACAGTAGCCATTGAATTCCATAATATGGAAATAAGTACTATGGAAGTCAATGGCTACTGTCTATTGTTTGGTTACCAGCATTTTTCAAAATTTCTTCTTTTGTGTTGAACAGGTTTTGAGGCTGAGTAAATGATGACAGAAGTTTCATTTTTGGGTGAACTATCACTTTAAATGACACAGGCAGCAGCAGGTTTATTAGGCTGCTGTCACTTTAAGACTGAATGCACAGATCCAATATTTTCTGTTTATGTTCATTACTAACTGTTTATGTTCACTTATGACATAGCAAGCTGTATTTAAGTGAAAACTCACCTCTTTAGACATATTTTTGTGTATTTGTCCATTTAAGCGCACACCCAAAGCCCACGCTCCATCTCAAATCGCACAGGAACAGCCTCTCTTTCACAACTCAGTCTGCTTTTTCTTTTTCTTTTTTAGTATTAAGCACATCCGGCAGGAAACTGTACAACATGTAACATTACATGATTTAACTGATTTGGATGTTACGTAGGAAAAGTGACAGCGCACCGCTTTAAAGGAAAAAAAAAAAACATAATGCGGCATGGTGTTTTCATAATCGTTGGAGGCCAAAATAAAAAATGACCTAAAATTGTATCAATCGCACAGCCCTTGTCATTAAATCATCTTTGAGAGAAAAGGGGGCCCCCTGGTGGTCTGGAGGCCCTATGCAGCTTGCGTACTTTGTGTATAGGGAAGACACTGATTTTGTACTGTAGCACAGGCTGTCACGAATCCTGTCCATGGACTTCTGTCCGCTTGCCACCAGAGGTCGCCCTCCCATTATATTGACTTTCACATTACACAGACTGTTGCATGTCACTCTGGACTACATTTCCCATCATCCATTGCACTGAGTGCACAAAGCTGTAACCAATCACACACACACTATATTACACCCACTCAGATCCTTCTCAAACTGCCGAGGATTGTTTGCGCATATCGCTAGTCTGTGATAGCAACGTTGCGGAGCCATCCTGAGTTTGCCTAATTTCTAGTCTTGGTCTGTTTCGCCTGTTTAGCCTATGTTGTCTAGTTTCTGCCTTGTCTTGCCTTGCCTTCCCTTCGTGTTTTGTTCTTGGACTGTTTACCTGGTTTGTGATCGTTGACTGCCTGTTCTTTGGATTACTCTTTTGGATTACCCTGGATGTACTGTTTTGCTGGTGTTTTGACCCTGCCTGTCCGCCTACGCTCTAAATAAAGCCTGCACTTGGATCCTCAACCCCGTTGTCACGTCTCCACGTTACGCAGGCATTAGGTGTACATCAGAAATAAAGCAGGCCGTTAGTTTACTGTCGGGAATTTGTTGCATCACGCTGTATCCAGTGTAGACAGCATCAATGATTATAAAGGGAACTTTTGTCATTTGTTGTTTTGCGTCATGCCGCTCATGTCTGGTGCAAGTATAAAAATAATAATTGGGTGTTGAGGATGCATCCTTCCTAGTCCAGTTCTTATGAGGCTTCAAGGCTACAGTCCTTCTCAGCATTAAAATGCTAGAAACAGACACTCTAGGAAGTGCGCATGGCTAGGTCATAAATGTTTGTACACCTGCGGTCACAGCACGAAAATACTATTACAATTATATTTTGACGAATACTTTACACACAGTTTAGCATTAATTTACAGCAGAAGAAAAGAAAAAGCATAATTTCATATCAAAAATCATTTTTTGTCTTTCATAGCATAACAAAAACTGGATGAGTTAAATGGCAATTCATTTTGAGCAATTTTTTTTTTGTGTGAATTGCAAAGGATTGTGGGTAAGTGAAGAATGTGAAGGATACACCTGATGCATCTTTCAAAACAGGCTGAATGAAGGACACGAAATGAAGACTGCCTAAAGAAAGTGTGATGACACTTGTGATGAAATGTTCACACGCAGTGCTGATATTAGATAATATAATCAGACTACTTTTTGATTCTTTTTAGATTACTTTTTGACCTAACTCATTCAATTTTAGCACTTCTTAAAATTAAAATGATTTTTATAAATCCAGTGGTCACAATTTTCTGCAATTATAGCCACCTGACAAGTGACTGGTCTTTGAATGTATGTAAGCGGTATAGGCTATTTTTTTGAAAGGAACATTTAAAAGATGTAAAAGACGAATTAGGGTGAATCAATAAATTATGAATAATTTATTGCTTTTGTGTGAATATGTAATCATGTAATCAGTAAAAGCAACTAATCTGATTATAAGTATTTTTAAAATGTAATTTAATCTAATTACAAGTACTTTACAATTTTTGGAATCTGATTATGTAATCCAGATTACATGTAATGAGTTACTACACTGTCCACGCATTTGGGAATTTCACATTGCCACGCAGATTTCATGAAGGTTTCGAACTGGTTTCTATGCTGCTCAAAAGAAAACTATTGTAAATAAGAATTTCACATTTCTTGTGCTGTCATATAGGAAGAAAAAGTGAATCAAGAGGGGTTGCGTTTATGATATGATCTGTATGTTTGTGCTGTAGGTTTCTTTGTTTACGTGAAGCCAACTCAGAAAAGAGAGCAGAGGGACTGGTTTTAATTGAAGCTGATAAAGATCTCCTTGAGAGGAACCACCCAGACCCAGGAGACATGGGACAGTGACAGGGTCTGTAGGCATCTCTCCACGGCCCTTCACAGATGACTCTGAAAGCCATATCATACAATCATCATAGTAAACACTGAATCTCCAAGAAAAGCTTCAGAACTTCTAAATATTTGCGTGCAGACATGGTAATTCCTCTCATGGGCATTGCGCAAGTATAATTAATACTATTTTCATCTCGAACTTAAGTAAACATGTTCAGAATGGGGGTTTAGGAATCAACAGGAAGAGAAAGATTATAATGGTGAATAACAATTAAATGAGTGTATAGTGTTGGGCCGAGGAGTATATAATATGTTATGTAATATATAATATATTTCATAATATATTATGAAAAACATAGGTCAAAGTCTTTGTTTTTAATATTCATTTAGTAATGAATATCATATTACAAAGTTTGGGATCAGTACAATTTGTAATGTTTTTAAAGAAGTCTCTTATGCTCACCAAGGCTGCATTTATTTGATAAAAAATACAGTAAAAACAGTAATATTGTGAAATGTTATTACAATTTAAAACAATGGTTTTCTCCTTTAATATACTTTACTTTTGTAACAATATTTTGGGGTCAGTTTTATTTATTTATTTTTTGAAAGAATTGAGTACTTTTATTCAGCAAGGATATGATACATTTATATAAAAAAAATAACAACAGTAAATACTTATATAGTTTTATTCATCAAAGAATCCTGATAAATAGTTGCTTATCACAAGTTCCAATAAATATTAAGCAGCACAACTGTTTCCAATAGCCTGATATTAAATCAGCATATTAGCATATTAATGGAATTCTGAAGGATCTTATATTACATAAAGCCTATATTTCATGTCATGTTTGGACATAGGGCAATATATACAGTGGTGTGAAAAAGTGTTGGCCCCCTTCCTGATTTCTTATTTTTTTGCATGTTTGTGGGAGTTATGCAAATCTTCATCAGAATGGCCTGCTGTGAAGAAAGCAGAAGTGTTTAGTGCAGGGGCAAATTAAAGGAAGTTTCAGTCCCCTAAAATGTTAAACATAACAGTTATAGTAAAGTTTTGTAAGGCCTGCATTATATAGCCTATCATCCATTCATCAGTGTAAATGACAATTTCTGTTAGGCTATATCTTGCACTAATATTACAAGGAAGTAAAACGTAAAGTACTGTACATTTTGCAGGATCTCATTGGATATTACCACAACTGTTTCCCACACTCTCATAAGTTTGGACTCTGGCCTGTTTAAAATAGTGGACATTATAACTTCCTGGGGGCGGAATGCAGTCATTATTTTTGGCGATGTAGTGAAACGATGAGTTTCCGTTCAGCAGAGGAGGAACATTAACACTGCTCACATTAACAGCAGCATTAATCTGGTGACAACAGTCCGTCAGCTCCACCTTCTGCGAGAGTTCACACCTCTCACATCAGTGCTCGGTGCAGTTCAAGAGTTTACACAGAAGTTCATCGTTCAGAAAAGTCGCTGGGAAACTTATCTGAAGATGTTTTGAAGATCGGCTGCTCGGGAATATACGATCCATGAAAGAAGATGGGATGTCTTTCTATCAAATCCGTTTGTAAAGGCACAGCGCTTCTGATCTGTGTCATTCTCCAGGTAAGAGAAGTACTTTATTTTGCATAGCCTAAATATATGTTAGTATAATGTCTGATTGTTGAGATAAAACACAAGTACACGCAAGCAATTGTGGCTGTTAACTGCTGATGGTCTTACCTGCAAAGAAACAGCGAACTTATATTTTGTTGGTTAAAAGACATGGGTTGTTCTTCTCATTGTGTTCAATTAAAAATTCTTGAAATTGTTTGTCTTTTTTTTCTTTCTTTCTCTCAAATCTCCAATGTTATTGTGTTTCACTTACCGGTTATATTTCCATCTATCTTCCGTCCATAACCAAATTAGTTTCGCTACACTTACCATAGTTTAACCATGGCATTTGTAGTAAAACTGTGGTTATAGGATACAATTGGTAATCAGTACGCCAAAAACACATTGTTACTACACTTTTAGGCTACTACAATACACCATGATTAATTTTTGTAAGGGTTGAGACAACAAAACAGTAAAATGTTGAAATATCATTGCATTTCCTAAAATATCAACACTTGTGGCATTTATTTTAATGACAAGTTTGTTTGGTCAATGTATATGATAAAACAGTAGGCTACCTTTATACTAAAGTCAGGCAGAATTTTGTTGGTTTCCGCTCAAAGAGTTGCTATTCCAGGGCAATCCAAATAAATGTTTGATATTTTGGATGTTATTGCAAAATATGATTCATTTATATATTTATCTGATTCATTGGTTATGTAGAGTGGCCCGAAAACAGGCAATAAAAAGTATAAATATAATTGCATTTCATAAATTAAAGTTGAAATGTCACCAAAAGGTTTTTAAGGACAAACAAATTTAGTGTTCAATATTAATATTATTTGGACACTTATCAACTGTTAGTGGATCATGTCATACTCATAAAAAGGTAGCTTGCAAAAGCTGTCACAGCTGTGGTACACTTTTGTACCTTCTTTCTTTCCCCCTAAAAGATGCATATTAGTATCTTATATGTACATATTAATACACTCTAAAAAATGCTGGGTTAAATATAACCCAGCGCTGGGTTAAAAAGGGACAAACCCAGCTATTGGGTTGTTTTGACCCAGCAAAGTTGGGTTGAAACAACCCAGCATTTTTTAGAGTGTGTGCATATCAGTAAAACAGTACCACTCCAGTGACAGATTTTAAACCTTTTTTTTTTTCTCTAAGAGTGTAGTTAATATGATGAACCCGTGGTTATTCTGCTCGGACACCTGTGTGAATATGAGGAGGACTGACTTCATACACCCACTAAAACACCAGCTTATTAAAACCAACCAACAAACAAAAAAGTGTCAAAAAGTTAGTTCTGAAAAAAGCCTGTGCAGCATTTGTTTCGAGATGCCTGCATTTATATATTGTTGTAATGAATCCCATATTTATACATTTTAACTGTGCTTTAAGTGTCTAAATAGCTAATGCACATTCTGGGTTCACTGTTATGAAATAAAAGTGCTGAAAATAAAACCATTTGCTGGTCTGCAATATCTTAATATAAAATCTAAGTCAAACACCAGATTCAGGATTCTGGATCAGCTGTGAAGAACCAGTTACGCTTGGTTTGAAATTGTCTCCAGATTTTATCTTTATTGGCTGATTTGCATCAAGACTATCCTCATTTTGTGTGTCTGACAATCTTCCTGAGAAGTTTCTATTTACTGTACGAAGTCAGAATTGTAATATGACATGTTTTAGGACATGTGATGCGACTGGTATGAATGCATATAAATGCATAGAACCATTTTTTTCTCTCTTTTCTCATTGACAAGAAGCTTTTATTAGTGCTGATGCAACACAATTAAGAACAAAATAAATAAAATGCATTAAGTCTGTAATAAACACTTTAGATATTTGTCAATGTTTAAATGACTAAATAAGTACTGCATTGTATATATTTAGGCTATACAGTATACACATAAGCAATATACAGATACAGTCAAAAAGCTTCAAAAAGGACACAAAAGCACCTCAGAAGCATCATAATGTTGGTCCATATGAGGTGCAGTATTTTCCTAGCTTTCTAAAGTCATATGATAAGCTTTGTTTGATGAACAGACTCAAATTTGCATCATTGAGTCGAGTTTAGGGAGTTAAGAAAAACTGAAACATTCCAAGTCTTAAACAAATCGACTTAAACAAATTTATTAAAAAGATTAAGCCTTAAAAAAAAATATGCATTTGATAACACAATCCTCTCAGGTTTCCCTCATATTTCTCACATGGACAATAAAATTATAGGATGGCCAATTTATACAAGTAAATGACAGATTTTTTGTGTAAAATAATGTGTAAACTAAAGTGTAAACTTTGGTCTTAATTTTTATTAAATGGGCACTTGTAGTGTACTTCACATTAAAAAACAAAATCTATACTGTACTTGCAGATAATATAATATGAATGAAATTAAACTTAAGTGTACTTAAAGAGAGTTCACTTTCATGTTTCTTAACACACTTAAGTACACTTTTAAAACATGCATTTCATGTTTTTACTTTAAAGTACACTTAAACCATTAAGTTTTCATAATATTTTCTCATTTATACATTTATTTTGATGTGTTGACTACTAGAGCACATGTAAAGTTCTTGATATTCATTTGAACTGCTATTTGATATTAAATTTAAAGTTAATGTATTTTAAATGTACTAAAAAATTGCAACTTCATCATTGACATGACATACAAGTTTCAATAGAAATGACTTTATGAGTATATTTTAGTTTACCTTGAATGTTTGTCAGTACATTCGTATGGAAGCTCGTTTCTGCCACTGAATAAAAATTAAAACAAGCTATCAGACTTTTTTTTTTCTCGCAATTCTGAGAAACTCGCAGTTGTGAGAAACAAGTCAGAATTGTGAGATTTAAACTTGTACTTGTGAGAAATAGCCACAATTCTGAGAAATAAAGTCACAGTTGCAAGATATAAACTTGCAATTCTGACTTTATAACATGCATTTGAGAGTTATTAAGTCAGATTTGTGAGATATAGCTAAACTTGCAATTGTAAGAAAATAGTCCTTTTTTCCTCAGAATTGGACTTTATTACTCACAGTTGCGAGTTTATATCTCACAATACTGAGAAAAAACATTAGAATTGTGAAATAAAAAGTCACAATTAACTTTTTTATTCAGTGGCAGAAACAGGCTTCCATACATTAGGCAGTACACTTTAATCGTATTTCAAAGACAATAGAATAATTATGAAATTAAAGATGTACTTAAGTCCTACTTAAGTGGGTCAAAAAACACTCTTAGGTTAACCTATTTGCATTTAATATAAATAAATACATTTCTGAAAGCATTGCATTCAGTTCACACTTAAGTAGATTCATTTAAAGTATTTTATTTCCATAATAAGTGCTCTTTTTAAAAGTATGCTGAAGTCTGCTTCTTTTTTACAAGGGTTCCTTAAGCTTTTCTTAGACTATGATCTGTTGAGAAATGATTTTGCCAGATCTGAATGGAAAGTAGGTGGAAATACTTGGAACAAATGCAAATGTGCTTGTTGCATGTTGTTTACAGAGGCTGAGCGCATGAGAGCTGATAATCTGAGCTTATTGTATCACCATATCAACTGACTTGACAGCTTTCCAGTTTCTGATAAATTTCAATTGTAGGCCATAAAATGTTTATTATGACTGCTCTTAGCCAGTAATAACAAATAATGTAGCCAGTTACTGAACATATTTTAAGGGTCACGAACCACCTCTGTCCTGAGAGTTAAACAATAAGGTCTTGAAAAGAACAGAAATTGGCCTTGTGTTCGTATCAAAGTGTGAACCTGAGTCTCAGGCCAGACGGTCTGGGGTCACGGTGCTGGAAAGCCCAGTCTTAAGAAGTTTACTTCATTCTTTTCCTGTTATTCTCACCACTCGATGGCTTCGGCCGCCCCGTTCTCCCGACACACAGGAAGTTGTACTGCTTTCAGGCCTGCTGTTTTGGCCAATGAGTTCAGCACAACAACAGTATCCTAGAAGGTCAGGAATATATTTACCAATCACACCAAAATGCAGCAGCAGCTTTGAGTGGGCCTGATAGTTTAGCTAGTTTGTCATTATGAATTGGCTCTTATTGTGGCTAAATTGTAATTTTAAGTAACAATAATTCAATATCTCTTACATTTGTTTGGTCCAAAGCATGATTTTTTCATTCACTAAATGACTTGAACTTGAACTGAACCCAGAATATTCCTGGTATTCCTAGCCTCAGTCTCCATTGAAATGAACTGCATGGAAAAGAGCAACCAGTCCGATTCCTTCATTTGGTTTAACAAGAAAGACATGGTTAATTTATGAAAACTTTACAAACCTGGAAAGCTTGTGGTTATAAATTAGCTATCACAGAACAGGTACTGTGTGTGTCATTCATATTCGGTCAATATTATATCATAAAGCATATCATATTCCAGTATATACAGTGCCTTGCAGAAGTATTCGAACCCCTTCATTTTTTTCAGGTTTTGTTATGTTGCAGCCTTATTTTAAACTGCTTTAAATTACTTTTTTTCCCCCACATCAATCTACACTCCATATACCATAATGACAAAGCAAATAACATGTTTTTTAACATCTTAGCAAATTTATTAAAGATAAAAACTTAAATGATTCCATTGCATAAGTATTCATACCCTTATCTGGGACAGTTGAAATGTAGCTCAGGAGCATTTATATTGCTTGTAGATGTTACCACACTTTGAGTGAAGTTATTCTGTGGCAAATTCAATTGAATGGGTATGATTTGGAAAGGCACAAGTCTTAATAAAAGGTCTACCAGCTGAAAATGCATATTAGAGCAAAGACCAAGCCCTGAGGTCAAAAGAACTGCCTGTAGAGCTCGGAAACAGGTTTGCGTCAAGCCACACATCTGAGGAAGATTTCAGAAACATTTCTGCTGCGTTGAAAGTTCACAAAAGCATGTAGCCTCCATTATCCATAATGGAAGACGTTTGAAACAACTAGAACTCTTCCTAGAGCTGGCCTCCTGGCCAAACTGAGCAATAGGAGAAG